CTAGGAGACAGGCATTGTCTCTGTAAGTGTGTTACCTAGTTCAGATCAACAGTAGGTCTGAGAAGCTTATTCTGTTTGCCATTATGGACTAAGAGTATGAGCAGACAAGAAATTGATAGCAGAAAACAGCAGTTATATTAAACGCTGAACAACATCAAATGTTCCTTGAAGGATTTTTTGTTCCTTCTAGGTATTGATTTATCATATACAGCTAAGCCTCTATTTCATATTCTTGTGGCCTGCAGCAACAACCCTAATTGTCATCATAGAACCTTCATCTAGTCACTGATGGAAGCAGATGCAGATATCTACATCTAAGAATTGGGCCAAACTCCTGGACTCCAATCAAAGAGATGGGGAGGGATTAGATGAGCAAGGGGGTCAAGACCATGATGAGGAAAACAACAGAGAGAGCTCACCCACGCTAGTGGGAGCTCACAGACTTTGGACTGACAACTGAGGAAGCTACAAAGGGCCAAACGAGGCCCACTGAATGTGGGCAACAATTGTGTAACTTGGTCAGTTTGTGGGGCCTCTGGCAGCAGGACTAGGATTTAGCCCTAGTGCATGAACTGGATTTTTTGAGCCCACATGGTGGGATGCCTTGCTCAGCTTTGAAGCAGTGGGGAGGGGCTTTTTCCTGCCTGATTTTGTTATGCCCGACATCATTGACTCCCCATGGGAGGCCTTAACCTCTCTGATGAGTGGATGGTAGGTGCAGTGGGGGAAGGTCGTGGATGAGCAGGAGGAGGGACAAGAGGGGGAACTGTGGTTGGTATGTAAAATAAATAAATAAAATAAAATAAAGAAAATTAATCTAGAACTTCTCGTCATTGAGACACAATAACTGCTGGCTGTCACTGCTGACTACTTGCCACAAAGGCTGACTACAGAAAACTGTCACACTCAATACTGAAAATAATATCCAATTTAGAAAATATTTGAATCAACATGTCAGCATTGATATTCCAATTTGATGACCAACAAACAGGGCTGTGTGGAGGGTCTGAGCTCTTGTTCCACAAGTCTGAAGACCTGAGTCTGAACCCCCAGCACATACATAAAAACAAATCCGGGAAGGGCATGGGAAAATAAACCCATTCAAAGATATTGGACAATAAAATAAATCCTGAGAGTTGGTAAGTAGTCCAGTGATATCCTGTCACAAAAGGAAGACACTCTGACTTGGCCAGACAAACAGCAGTGTGAGAAACATGACTTCAGGATATCCCAGCAATGTACTGACTTCTCGCCCCCTTTGTTACAAGTGTGAAAACCTAGCTCAGAGTGTTCTCCCTGCTGTTGAGAACTTGGAGAAGAAAATGTGCCAAACAAGTTGAACATCACCAGCAAGCATTTTGATGGTATGGGTCCTTAAATTTCCCCACCTCTTTGACATGTTGGCACTTAGTCCCTCAAGAACTTGGAAGTGTTGGCTCACTCAAAATGGCAGGCAGGGCAGCTTAGAACTGAACTTCTGGTAGGTTGGCAGGTGTCCATATCTGCAGCATCCTTGACCAGCAATGCAAGGTGGCCAAAATTCAAGTAAGTTCTCACAGAGGCCCTGAGGAAAAACATGAGACCAGGATGCATATGGGGTTTGTACTGGGGTCCTCAGGGCTCAAAGGCAGGATGTAGCCTAGGGGTATGCAGACACACATGGGGACAAGACCAGAGAACCTGAATCTTCCCATGCTATAGTCATGTAGTTTTCTCTGTGCTTTTGCAGCGTGTGACTCAGTGGAAGTCTCCTGGAAGAAGGGTCTTATGTTCCCTATAAAAATCTCTGCCCATTTTTCCTCCTCTGTAAAGTGACTGCATTGGCCTGTGTCAGTCTTTTTGAAGAGCTAACCACACTTACTGAATTTCATTTCTCTGGTTCATACCCTTTGGTTTCATGCATCTCTAAGTTTTCTGTCTCCTGCCCTGCAATCCTGGGCATGAAACAAGCCTTATCCATGCATTCTGGGTACATTTTTTACCATGGAGCCACACACCCAGCCAGGAATCAAGTATGCTTCTTGCACAAAGCACAAGCCTCTAGATTTGACATCCTTGTTTGGCAAAACTCTCTCTCAAGTCTAGCCAGAGATAAGATAAATCAGGTGGAGACTCAGGACTTCTGGTTTGACTGTCTTCCTGACCAAAAAAAATCATGGAATTGTGGCTTCTCTTTCTTCCTCTCTCTGGAATAACATGTGTTGTATGGATCCAACATCTTACCAAGAAAGAACTGGTTTGCAATGTGCTTGACTGTCAAGATCTCTGTGTGCATCAGTGAGACACCTACTGTCCCTTTTCATGGAAAGAATGAAATTCCCAACAGGCAGCCCTCACAATGACAAGAGGCTTGGGTTGTCATAGGGGTAGAATTGGGGACATGAAGAATGAGGCTTGAGATGAGGGGAGCCCATTATGTTTCCTCAGATTAGGTGACTGGCCCCCAGCTGAAACAGCAAAGACATGGATTTGGATTTATGGAAATGGATTAATTTAAGCTATAAGAACAGTTAGCAAGAAGCCTGCCATTGCCATACAGTGATGAACCAATGATAATAAGAAAAGAGACCCCATCACTCTGCTCTTTGGGACATTTGCTGTTGTCCCTGCTTTTGTTTGTCTCAGCTGTCTTTTCAGTCATTCTCCAGGAGAAAGTTTTCATTCTAAATTCCCAATATGGATTCAGGCAGGGGCTGACCTTGGACATCATTCCCTAGGCTTTCTTGAACCAAGAAGCTTTGCTGGGAGACTAGGCTCTGCTGTGGAATGTTTTGTATGGCAAATATGTTGCTCTGATTGGGTAGTAAATAAAACACTGATTGGCCAGTAGTCAGGCAGGAGGACTTATACTTGGGACAAGGAGGAGAATAATTCTGGGAAGTGGAAGGCTGAGTCAGAGTCACTGCCAGCTGCAGCCAGGACAAGCACCATGTGAAGATGCCGGTAAGCCATGAGCCATGTGGCAAGGTATAGATTTATGGAAATGGATTAATTTAAGCTATTAGAACAGTTAGCAAGAAGCCTGCCATTGCCATACAGTTTGCAAGCAATATAGGTCTCTATGTTTACTTGGTTGGGTCTGATCAGCTGTGGGACTGGCGGGTAAGAGTGATTTGTCCTGACTGTGCAGGCAGGAAAACCCCAGCTACAAGGCTCATGTTCTACCTCTTATCATATAAAAGGCACATAAATCTCCAGCACAGCAAGAGAGCAAAATTATAAGGCTTTGAATCCAAACCCTTTACAATAGCTTTTAATGATGACATACAGTGTGGGGTCTTCCTTTGCTCCATGATCATTCTTGGCCCTACTCTGAAACTATAGTGTTACTGACTTGTATCATCACAAGGTTGGTGACTAATGATGATGACAAGTTCTGTCATGTCTGGTGGGCCACATAGAATGGACCCAAGGTAAGAATAGATGCTGTGTGTTGTTGTGATTCACTCTCCCAGTGTAATATTCCAAGGATTTTTGTAGCTAATTTTTTCTGTGTCTGCTTGGTCCACAGTCACTGAGACACATATAAACACACAGAGGCTCATACTTATTAAAACTGTTCCCACTGACTACCTCTTACACTAAAACTTAGCCCATTTGTGTTAATCTGTATGTTGCCACATGTTTTGTGGCTTTACCTGTGTGACACTACATGCTGGTCCCTGGATGACATTCTGGCATCTCCTGCCCAACCTTCATGATCCCAGAATTCTCCTTCTCTGCATCTCCTGCCTATACTTCCTACCTGGCTACTGGCCATTCAGCTTTTTATTAAACCAGTGAACATAGGCATTATCCCACAGCATTTTTCCTTGACAGCACTGATCTGATCCCAAGAGAATGTTGAGCATCTGAGACATTTCCATTTGGAAGTTTTTCTTTTTCTTGGCAAAAAAAGGCCTATTGGCAAGAAAATGCCCTTTCCTCAATTGTTGACAGTATGCATATTTTCCCTTTTGTAATAGCAGGGCACAATGAAAAGCAACAGTTGAACTCTGCCAAGACAGTATAGGATAGTCTTTCAAAAAACCTGCTTCTGTAAATGATCTGACAGATCCTCTCAGTCTGTAGCCAATTTGAATGCACCAGTAATACTGAGAAATTCTAGGTGACTGTCAAGGCGTCCACCTATCTCTGTTTACACTAGCAAGACTCCCAAATTTGCTTGTGTCCTTCTCCTGTTTCTCATGTTTTACTATATGTTTTCTTGTGTCTTTGATGGGACTGGAGACTAACAGTTATAATTACAATATTCTTGTATCTTAGCTAGAACATACCAAGTATTAGATTCAGGTTCTTCAAGGTAGGACATCTTTTGGAAGGACCTTTGTAACTTGCCATTTACCTATGTTCCAGAATCTTCTGATTTTAGTTTGTGTTTCTTGTTTAGTGTTGTTCTTGTTGGTGTAGTTTCATCTCGTATAGTTCATTATCCCATTATATTCCTTCAGGATAATATTTAGTAATCATCCCTTTTGTAAATACTTTCATATTAGCTAAGAATTATCTTATTTAGACAAAAGGGAGGGATGTAGGGGGTAGCTGTTCCAGCTTTGATCTCAAAACACAGCCACTAGAATGACAGCAAGTTACTGCCAGACCTGCCTATGTACTGCCCCTGGGGATGACCTGCCCCTGGGATGTGGCTCAGATGGAGGGCCTTAAGAGTTGTGGTACATAAGTCTTTGGCCCCTTCTGGACACCTTGTAGTCCTGGAATCTGTATGGAAGACCAAGTTAGGGTCCTCTGCTAGATGGTACCTCATCTCTCCTGGATCTTGTAACCAACCCATATTGGCTTTAAGTTATGTCAGAAATAAACCTCTCTTGATTACCAGATAAATCACAAGGAATCATCTCAATTACAGTAATGGATTTCCTCAAGGTCTTTGTTTACTTCTGGGGATTCATCTTTCCTCCCCACCATGACCTAATTTCCCACAACCTTTTATCTCATTGAGTATGAGTCTTAAGGTGGGCAAAAGCCATTCCCAAGCAATGTTTTGACAGTTATCCTTAAACACCCCACAAAGAAACATTTGCAGTGAAGCATTGTTGGATCTCTGGAAGGATCGTTGGATCCCTCAGCTCCAAAGGAAGCTTTGGAAGGATGAGGTGCTGAATTTTCCCCTGTAACTTAGGAGATACTTTTGGGAACGGCAATTTGAAGTGAGGTAGTTAGCAGGTAGGCAAAGACTATGACATCAGCAGTCCCATACTTGGGTATTCTATGGTATCCTAGAGAGCTGTCATCTCCTGTGATGTCACCAGTGTTGTGATACCAGCAGGCGATGGGGCATTTTTTTCAGTGCCTTTATGTTTCACCTAAAAACATGGTGGCAAGATGAAGCAAGCTACTTGGAAAAGAGAATGGAGAGCATAGAGAGACCAGAGACAAGAAGAAGGAAGCTGGCCATTGGTCCCAGTGTAAAACAACAAGAAGTACATCTTCCAGGGGAAGCCACATTGAACCTTGGCAGGGGATTCAGTGCTTCTTGGAGAAGGTAGAATTGTGCTGGGCCTTCAAGGAGTAGAACTGAGGAGGTGGGGGTTTCTGGGAAGCAATGAACCTATTAAGGTTCTTTGTTTTCCTACAGAGCAGACACAGAGTCAAGGATTTTTTATGGTTAGTTGGGTGAAGATCCAGGAATTATCCAGGCTGCATATTCATGTCTTTGAAGTGTTTGAAGATTTCCTATCTAATTTAAATATATGTTTATATACCTGAAAACTTAATTAACTAACATGACTATAAGTTTGATTATCCTAGATGAATATTAATCTGCATTTTTAATTATATATTAAAATTTTAAGTTGCATAACATAATAACTTAAATGAGAGTAGAGATATATAAAATATAACAAACAACTTTAAATTTGTATCCATAAACTAAAATCTATAGCAAAGTAAAATATTTCAAACAAGTTGTTGTTCTCTAAAAGTAGATCCAATAACCTACCCTTTTATTCTATCATATCTATACTACCCCCTTTTCTTTTTAGAAAGAG